CACACACACACACACACACACACACACACACACACACACACACACACGATATGAGGATATGTTCCTGTTCATTTCCCCCCCTTGTTCTGGAAGCAGTTCCTGTACTTCTGTCTGTGGCCCGGCTGTGTGAAAAAGGAGACTACACACCTTGTCAACTTTGCTCAAGCAATGTTGACACAGCTTCTTGCAGAGTGTGAGTGACTGTGACAGTACAGGGGCAACACACACAGAGGCGTGTCATTATGTGTGGCTGGAGAATCGTCTCTGCCCCCAGGGGAGCATGCTTCACTATGCATTAGCTCCAAAGCTGTCTCCTGCCCTCCCTCCCCCAAAACCCTTGGTCCAGCTCTGCCTGTCAGTGTCTCTGTCGGTCTTCCCTCTTGCATTCCTGTCTCTCATGTGTCCTTCAGTCTTTGTAGCTCTTTACCTCCCCCTCCCGATTTCCTCTGCGATACCCAATTTCTGGGTACCTCCCAGTGATAACCCCTCCTTGTTGCATTAAAATCCATAAGCAGTTTGTTGGTCGATTTCTTTTTAATTTGAATTTTGTGAAGTGGGGCCGGGAAAAGAGCGCACTCACTAAAGAGCCTGCTGCTTACTCGAGAAGAGGACCGGGGTTCTCATCCTCCTCGGCACCCCCACACAAAGCTGGGCATGGCCCTGTATGTATAACCCCCCCCCCCGCCTTGTGGAGGCAGGCAGATGACCAGGCTGACTGGCCAGCCCCAGGGACCTAATCTCTGAGATGCTAGTGGGAGGGCCAGCCCCTGAGGGTCAGCTGCTGATGTTGACCGCAGCCACTTGTATAGTCACACTCCTGAACCCTCATATGCTCCTACACCCTGACTTTTGGTGTTTGTTTACAAACATTCTGTGGACTAAAGAAAACTACTCTTTTCTTTGCAAGCACACATTCTCCAACTGAGCTGCCCCCTCCCAGCTGGCAAAGTGTATTTATTTATTTATTTTAATTGGAGGGAGGAGTGGTATGAAGAGATGGCTTAGCAGGTAAAGGCACCTGCCCCTAAGCCTGATGACCCAAGTTCTATCCCCGGGACCCAGATGTTGTTCTCTGACCCCCCACATGTGCACCACGGCTCTGGAACACACACACACCCATCCCTTCAAGCTGCCCACTGACCTGAACACACACATACGCACACACATGCACACACATAATAGGACACAGATACTCTGTGCTTATTTATTGTGTCGCACAGTCGCTGTGCAGCTCAGAGGACAGCTTGCAGGAGTCAGTTCTCTCCTCCTGTGGGTTCCAGAAGCTCCAGCTCAGGCCATCAGCCTTGGTGGCAAGCACTTTTACCCAGGGAACATTTCACAGGGCCCCAAAATGGGAGTTTTGTAAAGCAAGAGGACAGAGCAGGAATGGGAAATCAAACAAAGGAAAAAAAAAGGGGGGGGGGAAGCAATTGACGAGATGGAATCCATGGAATTTTTTATAAAAATTACTTATTTTTATTTTACGGAAGAGCAGGGCAGAAGTGGGTGTCAGATCCCCTGAAACTGATTTTTTTTTTTTCTCCCGGGACAGTGTTTCTCTGTGTACCTTTGGCTGTCCTGGACTCACTTTGTAGACCAGGCTGGCCCTGAGCTCACAGGGTCTGCCTGCCTCTGCCTCCCTGAGTGCTGGGATTAAGGCGTGTGCCACCATGCCCAGCTGGATTTTTAAAAATTATTTATTTTTATTTCATGTGCATCATCGCATTGGTGTTTTACCTGCATGTGTTTCTGGGTGAGGCTGCCAGATCTCCTGGAACTGGAGTTACAGACAGTCATGAGTTGTCATGTGAAAGAGCAGCCTGTGTTCTTAGCTCTGAGCCATCTCTCCAGTCCCTGGGACATGGGTGTTTGTAAGCCACCGTTGGGGAATGGAACCTGGGTCCTCTGCAAGAACAAGTGCTCTTAACAAGAGTCTTCTCCCTGTCCCTGAGCTCATGATATCTTATCTCTTAAATAAAGCAAGTCAGCAATTCATGTCTAGTGACAGCTTAACCTGAACAACGAAGGGTTAAGTACTGAGTTGTGTTAAGCACCTAACTGGAAGGCAAAAGCTTCCGGGAGAAAAGAGTTGAGTTAAATAAACCCAAGAAGCTGACATGGGTAGAATTTCTTCTGCCTGACCCAGTAACAAATGCAAAGCAGATATTTTAGGATTTTTTTTTTTTAAGCTTCAGTGTGGCATAGCCCCTGGAAGCCAGAGCTTGGCTCTGAGGCCAGGCCTAGTGGAGCCCTGAGGGATGGGGACAGCCGGCAGTCTAATGGTGAGGGGAGGAGCAGCCTGGGTCAGGGAGGAGGCAGCAACTGCTCCTGGGGCGGTTCTGGTTGCTGTGTTTGCGATTTCTTCTTGCCCACTGTAATTAAAGCTTTCCCAATATGATTCTGGCTTCCTGAGGAAAGTAGAATTTACTAAACAAAGCAAGAATTGAACACAAAACAGTGGAGATGCTCGGTTGCAAGCTACGTATATTTTAAATCATGAAGACGTTAGGTCTTAAGGTCAATGCTTGCTGTTCACTTTTATTCTTGTATTATGGCCCTGGCAGGAGGGGCTCTTCTAAGAAAACAGCAAAATAAGAGGAGAGAAAAAAGAAAACCAGCCCTGAGTGCCCACTAAAATAGATTCCAACTGGCTCCAGTACTCGTCTCTCTGGGCAGCCCATCTCCCTCCCCACATCTGTCACACTTTAGGCTTACTTTGTTTTTTGAGACAGGGTTTCTCTGTGTAGCTTTGGCTGTACTGGACTCGCTTTGTAGACCAGGCTAGCCTTGAACTCACAGTAAGCCCTTAGGCTTACTTTTTATCCTACCTCTTTTGTTGCTGTTTTTTTTGTTTTGCTTGTTTGTTTGTTTTGAGACAGGGTCCCCTTTAACTCAGTCCGGCCTCATACTTGCTATGTAGACAAGAATGGCTCTGAGCTTCTAATCCTGCCTCTACCTTTTTGTTTGTCTTGCTTTGTTGTTCCCGACAGGGTTTCTCTGCAGAGCCTTGCCTGTCCTGGAACTAGCTCGGCAGGCCAGGCATGTGCCACCACTGTGCATCTGCCTCTATGTCTTAAGTGCTAGGATTACAGGGGTGCACATTTGTTCCCAGGCTTCATTTCACCTCTTAATTTCTCTCAACACACCACATGGATTCCGTGGGCTGGCGGAATAAATCAGTTGCTTTATTTCCCCTTAAAGGATGTGACCTTCCTTTTCCCCAAATGGCTTTGACAGTTTTCTCATTTGTCAGCTGAGGCTGTGGAAGAGACACTGACCTCCTGGTCTTGCCTAAGAGGGAACACTCACGGCCTATTATGCTTCAGCCTCTGGTTTGCTTCGCTGTCCGCTCTCCTCCATGCCCTCACCTACCTTTTCCACCTCTTCACACACATTCTGTTCACCCTTCAGCGCTTTCTACCCCCACAGCCCCCCTCGCCAGACAGAGACGCTGTGAGGCATCCAGCCTTTACCCCCAACAATGTTCTCTGCCTGCGAGAGAACTCCCAGGCCTCTGGGGGTGCTTGCTTTCTTTTCGTCCGTATTAGTCCCCAGAGGAGTCAGACCCGTGATACTGAGCTATACGTGGAGGGAGGGAAAATGTCAACCATCCCTTCAAGAGCCTTGTCTCTTGGAAACGGGAACTGCCAGGAGAAATCAATCTTTCAGCTATTCAAGGCAATTTCCTTTCCATCATCCTTTGTCAAGACCACTGTATTAGGAATGAATCTGGAGAGAGTCCCTGAACTGGTACATGCCAATAACGGTATCTCCACCATGCGGCATCCGTCACCTCCGTGAAAGTGGAGACTCAGGGAGCTGCTGCAAAGCCGCCCCCCAACAGTGAGAAATTTAGGTCCCCGGGGCAGCTGCTGATGGCCTACAAAGTAGCAATTTCTAATGTTTACTGTCTTAGATAGATTCTATGTGTATGACTTCTGCCTACAGATGTTATGTGCACTGCCCGGTGTGTGCCTGGCACTGGCAGAGGTCAGAGGGAGGTGGGTCCCCTGGATCTGAAACTGCAGGTGCTTGAAAACCAGCATGTGGGTGCTGGGAACTGAACCCAAGTCCCCAGCAAGAGCAAGCAGTGCTCTTTACTACGGAGCTGTCTCCCCAGCTCCAACACTAACAATGAAAAAAATCTTAATTTTTGTTTGTTTTCAAAACAAGTTTTCTTTGTGTAGCCCTAATGGTCCTGGAATTCTGAGGACCAGGTTAGCCTTGAACTCGGAGATCCAACTGTCTCTGCCTCTCAAGTATTGGGATTAAAGGCATGTGGAACTACCACCTGGCTTGTTTTAAAAATAGTTTTATTAGTATTTATTTACACTTGTGTGTCTGTGTGTGTGTGTGTGTGTGTGCATGTGTGTGTACACCTGCGGATGTGGATGTGCCTGAGGCTAGGACATCCCCTGGAGCTGGAATAAGCAGTTGTAAGCTGCCTGATGTGGGTGCTGGGAATTGAACTTGGCTCCTCTGCAGGAACAATACATGTTCTTAGCCACTGAGCCATCTCTCCGGCACCTTGTTTTTGTGTTTGATAGGGTTTCTCTGCACAGTCCCGGCTGCCCTCAAGGCTGGAGGCTTGGACCTACTGGAATGGACTAAGGGGTAAACTGCCTTATTGTGGGTGCTAGGAACTGAACCCGGGTCATCAGGAAAAACAGCAAGTGCTTGTAACTCAACTCCTATTTCTAGCCTCATAGACAGTAGCAACCTTTCCTTACCTTTGTCCGAATTTATTCTGGAAACCGACCACACACTGAGCTCTGTGGCGTGGGCTCTGACCGCAGACCCAGGTTAGAGCAGTAGACAGTGCCAGAGGAGCACAGGTCCGCAGGTTTCACGTTCTCTCCTCCATTCTCTCCGGGACTGACTGCTCTGAGCATCTGTTTAAACAGACCGCCGCCCAGGTGAAGTGTGAGCAGAAGCTGGGTGAGGGCCTCCGTTGTGCTGCTGTGAGCCCATCTCAAGTTTACAACAGAGGCTCTCTGGGTACTAGAATCTGTCTCCAGCACTTTCTATCTTCAAGGGTATTTCCCATGGCAATTCTTCTCAAATTATGTCCCTTGGGGTTCTAAGAAGTACCAGAGAACGTTATGGAGGCTGCAAAAGAACAATGGTGGGGGTCTGGCATCCTCAACTCTGGCTCAGGCTTTCACCCGGTTTCTTTCGGGTGTGGGGATTTCTCCTTAGGAGCTAATCCTTCTATCATCTATCTACCTACCTATCTTCTGAAACAGGGTTTCTCTGTGTAGCTCTGGCTGTAGACCAGGTTGGTCTTGAACTCAGAGATCTCCCCGATTCTGCCTCCTAAATGCTGGGATCAAAAGCATGTGCCTTCACCGCCCAGCTGGGCTCATTTTTAAACATTCAAATTTTATTTTTACTTTAAGGCTGTGTCTTAGGGCTGGAGAGATGGATCAGAGGCTAAGAGCACTGAGTTCAATTTCCAGCAACCACGTGGAGGCTCATAACCATCTACAGTGAGATCTGGTTCTGTCTTCCAGTGTGGAGGCGTACATGTGTGTAGAACATTATATATATAATAAATACATTTTAAAAAAAGGGCTGGGTCTCATGTAGCTGAGCCTGCCTTCCGATTTCCTGTGTAGCAGAGAATGATTGAGATTTGAACCTAGAGCTTTGTAGATGCCAGACATGTACTCACCACCTGAGCTACATCCCAGCCACAAAATAATTTTTAAAATGTATAGTCTGTTTGGGTCCATGATTCCTTGGCTCCAGAGGCTTTACAGCAAAACGAGTCTCCTGAGGCAAAAGAGTCATTTGTTTTCCAAACTCTGTTCTCCACTCTCACTAATCCACAATTTCCCTGCACTTGTCAAATGCAGTTACCAAGCCTCGATCAGTTCCCACGGACAGCCTCATCAATCGAACGCAGGCTGCACCCCGCTGAGGAGAGAGCGGAGCTGCGGTACAGGGGCCAGACTCTGGTGGTCTAGCGTGTCTCCTCTCTCCAATGCCAGCAGTCTGCAGACGTCCGAGCTGTGGGTCAACTTTCGGTGCACTCAGCAGGGACTTTCCACCTACAGTTTCTGGCAGCATTTGGGCTTCTTCCTGCCCAGGAGCCCCGAAGCCACCTTCTCCCCTTCAGCTGCACAGCTCTACCCCAAGGAGAGCAGGACAGGCCCACCAAGGCCTCCACTTCTCTTATATGTCCACTTTCTCAGGGCTCAAGCCTTCCCTTCCAAACTCATTCAAGATGTTAGATTTGGCTTAGCACTCGGGAGGCAGAGGCAGGAGGATTTTTGAGTTTGAGGCCAGCCTTGTATACAAGGCAAGTCCCAGGAAAGCCAGGGATAGACAAAGACCCTGTCTCAAAAGGAAAGATTCGAGATTTGCCCTGTTTATCATTCTGCACGGCACACAGCCTCCTCCTACCCAAACACAAGAGCTCTTTCCTCTGCAGCCTGGAACATCCCTGCGCATCTTTCCACCTCATCAACTTTTCATCTTTTCAAACTGAAGCAGGCCTCCCCCTCCTCCCTGCCTCTCCTGCTTCGCCATTAGCTTCATGAGTGGGGACATTAACGCATTCACCAGACAATGTCTTTACACCACTGTTTCCTGTAATTACAGTGCCTTCTCTCCCACTGTCCTGGCTTATGCGACTGTAAAGTGCTTGAAGGAGGGACAAGTGTGGACAAAAGAGGCCGAGGTTGAGAAATAGTATAATTTGGCATCTAAGAGATGCTAAAGCATCAGGAACTCATCAGCTGATCACACACACAGAGCTTGACAGAAGGGACTGAAACAACTGTGGACTGCTTATGGGTACTGTTATTTATTATAAGCAACGAGAGCCGCGGACAGCCGCATCCCCCGTCCTTCAGAAGGTAACTGCAGCTATAGCGTACTTGTCGTGTAAATCGGCCACGTTGTCACTGGAGACGTGGACCCAGCCATTCTCCCGCACGTGGTACAGGTTGACTACGCCTCCAGAGTAGGCATCTCTGTAGGTGGCTTGGTAGATGGCTCGGCGGGCCAGATCATAGGCCTCCTCCACTTCCATGACATAGGAGTAGCCTCGATCCATGACACCATAAGCATACACAGAGCCAGACCCCACAGAGAAGGCGGTCCCAGAGATCCGGTTACCCTCGCTGTCCACATAGTAGAGGCCTGGAGGAGGAGAGGTGAGCGGGAAACAAGAAAGAGACGGTCATTTCTTTGCTATTTTATTCATCTTCCAAGGTGGTTTCTCAAGTTCTTCAACAGAGGTGTAGCTCCGCAGCAGAATATATGCCTAGCGTGTTCCCAGTAACACACACACACACACACACACCACCGCCACCATCAAAATAGGATCTCAGCACACCTGGGAGGTAGAGGCAGGAGATCAGCAGTTAAAGGCTAGCCTTAACTATATTGAGTTTGAGGCCAGACTGGACTACATAAAACGCCGTCTCAAAACAAAACTGGTATAGTGCCAGGTGGCGGTGGCGCACGCCTGTAATCCCAGCACTCAGGAGGCAGAGGTAGCCAGATCTGTGACTTAGAGGCCAGTCTAGTCTACAAAGCCAGTCAGGACAGCCAAGGCTACACAGAGAAACCCTGTCTTGGAAAACAAAAACAAAACACACAGAAATATTGTAAGACTATGCTTCTGTTTTATTCTAGGTACAGGGGATATGGGGCTGCTCTGGACTATCAATAGCAGCTGACTATGATTTGCTTCCTGCTCTAGAAAAGGGCAAGGCTTTGCCAGCTGTAGACAGACACAATCTGTGATTGTGTGATGTTTGGAATTCTGGGAACTTTTCAGAGGGTATATAAATGCTAAAGCCCTAACAGTTGGGTGGTTTTTTGTTTTGTTTTGCTTTCCAGACAGGGTTTCTCTGTGTCCTGGACTTGCTCTGTAGACCAGGCTGGCCTTGAACTCACAGAGATCAGCCTGCCTCTGCCTTCTGTGTGCTGGGATTAAAGGCGTGTGACACCACACCTGGTTTGGTTGTGGCTTGTTAGTAGTCCTACTCAAAAAAGAAATAAGAAATTTATATTCAGGGATCTCTCTCCTTCTTTCTCTGCTGCCTAGTGATAAATAGTAAAAGGGGAGGCGTGGGGGGGATGGGGAATAAAAGGTGGGTAAAAGAAGAACCATAAAGTAGCAAAGACCAGCTATAAGCAAAGAACAAGGAGAAATTAGATTCACAGATCTCTCTTCCCTCTATCCTTCTTTCTCCTCTATCAAGTGACAGTGGGTGAAACGGGGGTGACGGATAAAGGGAAAAAGGAGACCCCACTAAGTAACAAAGACCAGCTACAAATGGAGCTAGAAAGACTGCTCAGCAGTTAAGAGGCCTTGTTGCTCTAGTCCAGGACGCAGGTTCAATTCCCAGTATTCACAGGGTGGCTCAAAACGTCTCTAACTCCAGTTTCTTAGACTCCATCACCCTATTCTGTCCTCCTTGGGCACTGGACGTGCAAGTGGTACACACACACGCAAGCGCTTAAACACACACAGAACCTCAAAAAGAACCAAGTTTCTTACAAAATTGGGGAAAGACCAAATAAAATTTACTATTGCGATTTCCAGATTCCACAACACATACTGTGTCACCTCCCCTGATACAAACCATCCAACTCGTTCCCTTGGTAAGTACAAAAGGCAAGCGCGCCGGACACTTCAAGCCTAGGACTTCAGGCATGGTGAAAGATAACACTTAAAATACAACCCCATGGCTGCAAGAGGTAGCTCCTTTTAGGCCAGAGACTAAATGAAAACTATGTGGTGGAGCCTCACCACCCAACAGTGGCTAGTGCCCCCATGTAACCGACTACAACACTTGAAATGGTACTGAAAAACAGAATTGTATATAAAATTGACTATAAGCCAATTCCACCAGTTTAATTTACTTCTGAGATACAGTATCACTGTGCGGTCCCAGGCTGTCCTGCTGCCATATAGCTTAGGCTGGCCTTGAACTCTTGACCCTCCTGCTTCAACCTTCAACCTAGTGCTAGGATCACAGCTGCCTATCGGCCTTTTTTTTTTTTTTTTTTAGCAGTTTGAAATGTTCTACAGTTTATTGTAGACAAACTCCACCCCCAGTTTAGACAAGACCAAAATTCCATCTGGTAGGATTGACTGATGCTCACAGGACCCAGTTGATGATGATCATAACTCTGTATAAACCTTCAGTCTCGCCATTGTGTGAATTCTAACAGACCCAGCTTTGTTCTCCTCCAGTGTCTTCTCTTGGAGTTGTACCTGATTTTGTTACCAGTTTTCATCCGAATCCATTGAGGAATAGGACGATTCTGCTTTTGTTTCTTGGCCAGGAATCGCTTGATTCACAAAGTCTTTCAAGAAGACATAGCAAGGAGCCAAATTAGGCGTAAGGCTCACGATGGAGGAGCAAAGGCCTTGAAGCGGCTGTTTTGTTTTTTTAATTGAGGGCCAATGAGGTGACTCAGCATGTAACTGATTACCACCAGGCCTGAGGTCCTAAGTCTGATTCTCAGAACAAGAGAACCAACTCCTACAAGGTACCCTCTGAACTCTACATGTATGCTTTGGGATGCCTGCTCGCTCACACTTACAAACATACACACACCCAAACACACCATAAGTACATAGTAAATAAATAGTGTAATTAAAAATTTAAAAAACCAGGGCTAGAGAGATGGCTTCACAGGTAGAGGGGCAGGAACGCTGGCTGCTCTTGCAGAGGACCTGGGTTTGGTTCCCAGCACCCACTTGGTGGCTCACAACTCTAACTCTATTCTGGGGGCTTCAACACCCTCTTCTGGCCTCCTCAGGCACCAGGCATGCACCGTGGTGCATAGACATACATGCATACAAAACACCCATGCACAAAAACAAACAAACAAACAAACCAAAAACATTTAAAAGACTAAAACATATATATTCATGAGATTTTTGCTTTGTTTTGTTTTTTGAGACAGAGTTTCTCCATGTAGCCCTGGCTGTCCTGGAACTCTCTCTGTAGACCAGGCTGGCCCTGAACTAACAAGAGATCCACCTGCCTCTGCCTCCCAAGCGCTGGGATTAAAGCTGTGTGTACCACCGCCATCACCACCACCACCACCACCACTGGAATATTCGTAAGACATTTTAAAATTTTATGTGTAGCTCACCTTTTCGACCTGTTAGAAAATGCTGGCTAGCTTATCTCTCAGTCAATTTAATTCTCAGATAACAGCGGTTTTTTAGTCCTTATTATTGTATGGAAAAGAAGGGCAAACGCTGTAGCAGACACTGCACTAATTGCTTTGTATTTACTGCTCTTAACCACTGTGATGATGCTTCACTCAGCCAACTGACAGATGATGAAATAGGCTAAGAAAATAGGTAACCCTAGGTCAATGACACAGCGAGTCTAAGTCCAGGCCCTTTCCTAGACGCCCAATGCCTTCCTAGGAAAGGGAGGGAATCGCAGAACCAATTAACACATTCTTCCTTGAAGTCACCTGTTCCCTTAAGCCCCTCCAGTTAGCGGCAACCCCCAGGATCACGTGACTGCAACAGGACTCACCAGGGCCCCTCTTATCCCAGCCACAGATCATGGTGCCCATGGACAGCCCCATGCCTTTGTACTGGTACACCATGTTGGCCAGCAGTTTGGAGGCTGCTGCGACAGAGATGCGTTCCTTATTTCGAAGCTCATAGATCCGGCACTGTCGCGCCAACAACCGCTCCCAGAAGCTGCAATCCGCTGCACCCCCCGCCATGGTGCCCAGCAGGTAAGGGTTAATCTCGATCACTTTCTTCACTGTCTGGGAGGCAATATAGGCGCCCGCTGTGGCCCGGGAATCAGCAGCAACAATGACTCCATGGTGAAACTGGTTGCGGTCAGAGAAAACACAAAACAGGCCACATGAGACCACAAGTATTTCCAATACTCCTTTTCTGTACTGATGGAAAAGAAGGGTTACCGGATCCCTCGCTTTACATATTAAGTTTAATGAGATAAAGCCACTCCTAGGGAGATAGCTCAGTGGTTAAGAGCACTGGCTGCTCTGAGTCGAGTTCGGTTCCCAGTACCCACGTACACAAAGATGTGTAGCTACAGTTCCAAGGGATCCGACGCCCTCTTTCGGCCTCTGCGAGCAGTACACACGTGGTGAACAGACATAAAGGCAAAACACAAATAACAGAGGGTTAAAAACTCGCCTAAGATCCACTGCTAGTAGCCGTAGAGCCTGGGTGGCTGGCACCCACTACGGTAGTCCCTGGACGTCACTAAGCTCCCGGGAGGGGACGGCCGGTTTGGAAAACCTTTGGTGAAGACGCAGCTTTCTTTCCCCCCGCCACGGCAGCTGTTACTGCGGCTTCCCTTCCCCGGGAGCGCTCGGGGGTCGCCTAGGAGTCAACCCACGCTGTCTCGGTCCCCTTCCCCCGCTGTCCCCCGGCCCGCCTTCCCTTCCACACGGTTACGACACAGTGAAAGCGCTAAGGTCGGGAGGAGAGGACCGAACCTCCGCCCGACTCCGTTCCGCCTGGGATGCCGGAGGGGCGCGGGCTGCTGAGCACCTTGAAGGCCAGGGTGGTGGTTCCATGGAGCATTTCGATTCGCGGCTCCTCGGGGACTCCCCAGCTGGGCGCGGCCAGGCTCAGCCCATCCTCAGGACTCCCCGGACCCAAATCCAGCAGGTCCGCACGACCTCCGAGTCCAAAAAACCCGCGCTGGTTCACCGGCATCGGCCGATCCAACACGCTGGCCAGCGCCATTTTTAGTGAGGGCAACAGGAACTGTCTCGTGAGCGACTCCTAAGAACGGCCGGGCAAACTCCTCGCCGGCGCAGCTTCACGTCCTATTAAGTCTATGCCTAGGCGGCGCCATTTTTACTCCGGGCAACCACGCCTCCAAATACGGGCGCCGGACTGTTTTCGCCGAGGAACGCTAAACGATAGCGGAAACAAACAAACAAACAAAAACCGCTAAATGGATAAGACTGGCATTTTTACTTTGCGCATATAATCAGTACGAAGTAACTTCAAATTCTTAAAGAGTGGTTGGAATGTTCCCGAAGAGTGACGGAGGTGAGTTCGGCCATCTTTGAGAAGGGCATGACTGCTTGAGACTCCAAGCTGGGTTCTGATGTTCGGTCGCCGCCCAGGCCCTGGTTCAGGTTACAAGCAGCTTCTCCTCTTTCTCCAAACCCCGTTAAGGAGGCTGAGGTTGCCATTTTCTTTAAGGTCACCCATCCAAATATTGATTAAAATAATGGTTTTCATTAATTTATTATTATTATTCGTTATTATTTCCCTAAAGTACTTTTGTTTTGTTTTGTTTTGTTTTTAGAGACGGGTTTCTTTGTGTAGTCTTGGCTGGCCTGGACTCACTTTGTAGACCTGACTGGCCTCGAACTCACAGAGATCCTCCTGCCTCTGCCTCCCTGAATGCTGGCATTACAGGCTTGCTTCGACACTGCAGTTTGTTATAACAACAAAAGCCCACCGCCTCCTTTTTGCTAGAATTTATACCATAGCTCACTGTCCCTTAAAATATTTTTTGGTTTGTTTATCTGTTTTGAGACAGACTCTCACTATACAGCCATGGGTTGGGCTGGAACTTGTTATGTCAATCAGACTGGCCTCTGATTGGGATCCTCGAACCTCTGCCTCCAGAGCTCTGGGATTAAAGGTGCTCCACCACACCCTGCTAAAAGTAAGCAGTTTATAAAATTATCTTCCACCTTCTAATGAGAATTCTAAGTAATAGGTTGCCCGAAAGGCAAGTAAAATAAAAAAGGAAAAGCAAAGGTTTGCCTAACTGAAAAAGTAGATTTTCTTGGACCGGAGAGATGGCTCAGTGGTTAAAGAGCACTGTTGAGTTCAATGCCTAGCAACTACATGGTGGCTCACAACCATCTATAATGGGATCTGATGCCCCCTTCCGGCATGCACACAGAACACTCATAAATAAATAAATTTAAAAGTAGATTCTCAGTTCAACACCAGTTTTTGTTGTTGTTGTTTGTTTTCCTGGGCAAGAGGTTGTTTTTGGTTTGGTTTGGTTTTTTTGAAACAGGGTTTCTCTGTGTAGCCGCCTTGGCTGTCCTGGAGCTCTTTCTGTAGACCAGGCTGGCTTTGAACATGAGTGCAAATCTCTGTCTCTCATGTGCTGAGATTAAAGGCCACATGCCACCACACCTGGCTTAGCCCTACATAGTTAAATCAGTAGTAACTGACATCTGAGAACCCGAAGGAGACTTGGTGGATTCATAAAGATGAAGGCAAAACTGCCTGTAGACTCCCAAGATTAGGCACTTCGTTGGGAATATGCCATATTTCATGGCCTTTTCTTCTTCCACCCACCATTACTTCTCAGTACTTTTAGGAATGATAACAAGTCAGGAAGTAGGCATACATATTAAATGTTGCTCCCTGCTTTATGGGTCTATGAAGTCAGTGTTTGGTCTTGCTTGTTGGATTCACCTATCAGTATCTAACATCAGCGTTCTTTTGATGTCCAACTCAGTCCCTCCTCTCCACAGCAGATTTTGCATATGCAGTATTTTTCATGCTGAAACCTAGCAACCTTTTCCAAATCCAACTACCAGAGGTAGGAAATTTTTATCTGTGCTTTATACTTAGTGTGGAAAATGCAAGGTAGGGCTTGGAGATGGCTTGATGTGGCCTCAGTTTGGATCCCCACAGTCTGGAGCTTTGAAGTCCAAGGACAGCCTTGTCTACTTATCAAATTCATGGCCAGCTAGGATTACATGTGAGACCCAGTCTCAAAAATAAACAAAACAAACAAAACAAAGTCAGCTCTTTATTAATCAATCGAAGGTGCTGGAGCACAACTTTTCCACACCATTGAGACAGGAGATGCTTCAATAATAATGACAAAGCCCACATCCAGACTGCAACCAGATCTCCGGGTCCAGAAATCAGCATCTGAATACACAATGCACAAAACCACCCCCCAACACGCCTCAATATCTGTTTCCTCATAAATCCACATCCAGCACAACTTCAAAAAAGCTAGCTAGATGGTCCAGTCCCCCAGACTATTTCAGCCAGGGCTTCTGTTAAGCGCTTTTTCAGTCATGTAGAGGACAGACAACAGGTATTACAGCTAGCTTTCTTAGGACCTGACCCAACTGTTTTTAGGTCTCCCAAAAATGCCAGGTAGGTGCTGTTTTTTAAACTGTAGTCTACTTGGCAGTAGTTTTATTTATCTTAAAGCCTCAACCTCTTTGAACTCATCAACCCTAGGTAGGAGAGAAAGAAGGTTGGAAGGGAAAGGGGCCATGGACCTCTTTGCTTCTTCTAGCTGGGTAGGGTCATCGGGTTCTTCCAGGGGACAGTACCGATCTCAGTCATCAGGCTAGCCAACAGTTCAGGTAACCAGTAGGCGCAGCAAACAGTCGCCTTCCTTCAAAGCGTTGTTGAAGCGGAGCGTTCTTTCTGTCTGTCTCCTCCAATCTGCTGCGCGTCTCTCTCCGGGCTCTCAGATTTCAACCAACTGCAGCTGGCAAAGACCACGCCCCTCTTCCTGCCTTACAAGGCTGTTACCAGCTGACAAACACCATGCCCTTTTCCATTCTGCACAAGGCAATTATCAGCTGTGGACAAACTGAGGCAGTCCCATATCCCACATTTGGGATTAAAACAAAAACATATTTACGTAACATTACTGAGTTTTTTTTAAAAAAAAAAAAAAAAAAACAAACAAAACTGCCAGGCACCAGGAAGCAATTTTAAGAGAATGATGCCCCATTCCCAAGAGGTGGGGGTGGGTATCTTTTGGTTGTTCTGTGGGTAATGGATGTTTGTCATTATTTAAGGGAGGTTGTTTGCAAGTTGTTAATGGTCTTGGTCAGGGAGGAAGCATAGTAGAGGAAGTTAGATTCAGGGATTTCTTTCACTCTTTCTTTCCTCTATCCTTCTTTCTCTGTTATCTAGTGGTAGGGGAAAAGGGAGGGAGGGATGAAAAAAAGGGGGAGAAATAGGAATGCTAGGATAAAAGGGTAGATTACTGAATCTACTTTTAGACTGACTCAAATATTTTACATTGGTATACATTATTGTATATTGATACAAATTTAAGGTTATATTTTGTTATAACGTACTGTATGTATATGTCAAGTCTTGTTTAAGGTATTGTACATACGCAACTTATTTGAAAATGTAATGCAAAGTTCTGTTCCTATGAAAGCTACTATTACAAACTGTTTAGGATAATTAAGAAATGAAAGCTAGTAGTCAGTCAATCAAACTTAAGGCCATGTTAGGTACTAGTTTAGTTAATCACAGAAATAACCTTAATATTTAGCCCTCCTGTAGATGTTTTCAAAGTTAAGCCAATAGTAAATAGCTAGAAACAAGCAGCAATTGCCTAGTCAGGTATAACTGAGGTAGATAGATGAATCTTCAGACACTTCAGAGATCTACAGAATATGGCATTTAAAGATGTTTTTAATAGTAAAAGGCTTTTGACAGTGAGACACATCTGTTCTTGGCAGCACCCCCATTCTACTTCAAAGGAGATGAAGGGCATCAAAGAACCTCCATATGGAGTTTGCTTCAAATGTGGCAAAGCTAGCCACTGGGTAAAACACCATCTTTGCCTCAACTGCTGACAGCATGCTGTCCAAGTCGACATAGAGGAAGTCGACTGCTGATATTCTGGGCCAGCAGGCTGAAGAGATGGATGCTCCGGTGTTGCAGAAGACCCTGGGTGACTTAGCAACCTCTGTTATTCCTATAGTTCTGGAAGCTGCTTGCTTCGCACTTCCTGTTTACTCAGGTAATATTTATCCTTCTCAGGTCTCCAATGGGATTAAAGATGAGATAGTTAGAGTCTCACAATTAAGCTTAAGTTGCTTAGGATTTAAGAAAAAAAATTTTTTTTTGAGACAGGGTTTCTCTGTGTAGCCTTGGCTGTCTTCAACTCACTTTATAGATCAGGCTGGCCTTGAACTTACAGCGATCAGTGATCAGTCTGCCTCTGCCTCCCAGAGTGCTGGAATTACAGGTATGCACCATTGTTGCCCAGCTCAAGAAAATATTTTAAACTCTAAAAAGATATTTATGAATTGATAAATGCAACTTATGATAGAAAGTGATTTAGTACAGAACTTTGGCCCACCAAGATAGGATCGATAGTAAGGTCTCCAAGATTGCCAAATACAAAAGGCTGGACATTATGGATGTAATTCTTACCTGATAGTTTTCATAATTGTTCTTACTGTACATAGTTTATTAAGAGAAAGAGCCTTTTTTATGGACTGAAGGGGAGAGAACATGTTAGAGTGGTGTTCTGTGCACTGCATGAAGGTTGTCTTTGTATAGTCAGATGCTGATGTCTGCACCAGCAGAGAGCTGGGTACAGACCAGACTGTGGTATTGTTGAGCATCACCCGTTTCCACGGTTTGTAGATGTTGCTCTCCACTACCTTCTGATTGTTTGAGTAAAGAGCTGAACAGCCTATAGCAAAGGCAGGAGAGAACAGGCAGGACTTCTGGAAAGATAGGAACTCTGGGAAAGAAAGAGGCACAGAAAGATTCACCTATGAGACAGGAAATCACAGGTATAAAGCTGAAGAGAGGGGCTGGAGAGATGGCTCAGAGGTTAAGAGCACTGGCTGCTCTTCCAGAGGTCCTGAGTTCAATTCCCAGCAACCACATTGTGGCTCACAACCGTCTATAACTGGTGCCCTCTTCTGGTGTGCAGTGATACAGACAGACAGAACATTGTATACATAATAAATAAATAAGTCTTTAAAAAAACAATAAAAAAAAAACAACAACTGGGGAGAGATAAAGAATCACACGGCAGAACATAGATTATTAATATAAATGGGATAATTTAAGTGAAGAGCTGCTTGTGGACAAGCCTAAGCCTAAGCCTAAGCCAAAAGCTATTATAAATAGCTGTAAGCACTGTGTCATTATTCAGAGCTAGGGCGGACAAAGAAAGTCCAAACGGTTGCGTGGATAATCCTGATGAAGATTGGACAGACTGCCCTGAGGAACCCAATGCCCGAATCATCAGAAATCTATGTGCCCTCTCCCCGCTATCCTTCTCTCTCTGCTGGAGTTGAGGGTTGGAATGGAGAAGGGTGATGTAGAGAGGTAATAAAAAGAACCCAATAAAGTAGCCAAAAGCCTGGCTCCAGGTACAGGGCAACTGAGAAAAGTAGTCAAAGATGGTTTTGTCAAGGAAATCTGGGGTCCACTTGGGTTCCATTGTTTCTCAAAGCTAGAGCCTTACAGTGTGCTCGTCCGTCAACTGACTCTTCCTGGAGAGATGTGAACAAATACCTATTCATCCCAGATGTGGCACCACGGACAAACCAAAGAGCTATTCCAGCCAGGGAGAGTGTGGTGAGCAAGTGAGTTTACCCGAGGGTGTTTACAGGTGCATGACTGAGCAGTCGCTTAGAGGAACCTGGGTAGCTTATGGAAGCTATACCGCTGAAAAATAGTCCCTTTGCTCAACACTGTGAAGTGGGGGCCAGAGACGTGGCTTAGGGAAGACGCGCACTGACTGCTCTTACAGAGAACCCAGGTTCCATTTTCAGCACCTATATGGTGTGGTTAAGAACCATCCATAACGCTAGTTTCAGGAGATCCCATGCCTACATGTGACTTTCATGGACACCAAGCGTGTATGTGGTTACACTAAAGGCAAGCAAAATACACATAAAATAAAATGAATAAAGTAATTAAAAAGCCGCACACATAACCATTAAGCGCTGCTTATCCTTGGGAACGGTGGGTGGGGCCTGGCGTGTGCCACCTCATTCATTGTCTCTTGAACTGTTCCCCTTTCCTAAAGGGATGTTAGTGCGCTCGGTCTGGTGAGGATCTTGTGTGGATGATCACATCTGCTCAGATATCAAGAAGGCAATAGCTCTGCCATGCCCAAGGGACAGCGATCTACAGTATGACACGTGCCTATAATGCCAGCACTTAAGATGCAGAGGATAGGGAGTTTGGAGCAAACCTGGGCTAGAGAAGGAATTGAAGGCCATGGTAAGCTACAAAACAAGATGCTACCTCAAAAACCAAAACAGCACCCAAGTCTCATGAAGGAGAGGCAGGCAGATCTCTATGAGTTCAAGGCTAGCCTGATCTACAGAGTGAGCCCCTGTCTCAAAAATGAAGACACAAAAACAGTAACAAAACCTCCAAACAAACAGCAGCAACAACAAAAATTCTGGGTATGATGGCACATACTTGAAATCTCAGCCTGGGGAAGGAGAGTTCAGGGTCAATGTTGGAAGGACCCTGCTGTTTGAGGTTGCAGTCCTCCCAGTCCGGATAGCCATTTTTTTTTTTAAATTTGTTTATTTATTATGTATACAGTGTTCTGCCTGCATGTATACCTGAACACCAGAAGAGGGCATCAGATTTTGTTATAGATGGTTGGGAGCCACCATGTGGTTGCTGGGAATTGAACTCAGGACCTCTGGAAGAGCAGCCAGTGTTCTTAACCTCTGAGCCATCTCTCCAGCCCCCAGATAGCCATTCTGAGCTTGGTTAAGCTGTAAGACTCCCTCTCCCCAGCAGGGCCTCCTGCTCTCTGCATGACTTTGTCTGGAGAGTGTCTTTAGACATAGATGCCCCTAACCACATTTGATATATGACCTTTGACACAGCTCCCTGCTAGCTCCCCTTCCCTGAGCCTATAGCATAATTAGGAAGAGCAGCTGGTGCTCTTAACTGCTGAGCCATCTCTCCAGCCCCACAATCTTACCTTTTCAAGCTAACACTGGGGAAGGAGTTCAGAATTTGTGGAACTTGATTCAGACATTGAGGGGTAGGATTTAAATGCCCTGATGGGGGAGTCGAAGTGGGAAATGTGCTAGGAATAGAGAGAAACAAAGTTGTGGCGCATGGATTTGGACTAGACTATAGCGGACTTAATCTTTAATTTAATTTAATTCTCATTTTTTTTTTTTTTTTTGGAGACATAGTCTCTCTATGTAGATCAGTTGTCCCTAAACTCACAGATCCACCTGCCTCTGCCTTCCAAGTGTGGGGATTAAAGGTACATGACACCATGCCTGGTGCTAGAGGGGACTCTGTCAGCCCGGGGTGAAGGAGGTCATTTATATTTTATCTCATTGTAGCCCTGCAGAGAAGGCACAGTGTTTGAACTGTGCCCACGTGCAGGGTAAGAATGGAGTAAGGGATCAGGATGCCACTCCATCCTCACCGGGGCCCAAAACTTTGTAGAATTTACTTTTAAAATTATATGTGTGTTTATTTTGAGGTACGGCCTCACTCTGTAGGCCTGGCTGGCCTGGAATTCACAACCCCTCCCAACTCAGCCCCTAAATGTTGGAGTTGATCTTAGGTATGTATCACCGCACATGGATACCTTCCGATTATTATTTTATTATTTTTGTGATGGGTTTGGGCATCAGGCGTATGGAGCAAGTGCTCCTACCTACTGAGTGACTGGCCCAGCCTAGGTTCACTGTCTTTGTGTGCACACAGAAGGACCCCTTTGCCCCAAAGCGGAAGAGAGACCTTCAACCTTACCCAACCCCCAACCTGCGTTTCGGGGAGATATTTGAGTCCCTTTCTCCCCCCCCCCCCCCCAACACAGACACAGAAGCTCTCTTGTCCTTTTCTGTGTTCGGCAGCGTTCTCCCATCTTCCCATGAGTTGGAAGTCCCTGCATGTCTTTGCATGCCTCATGTCCCCGAGGAGGGCCACTCTGCTCCCTCCTCCCGCTGCCACTCTTGTATGCGGTTATCCCGCCTCCACTCACCTCTGGGATGAGACCGGATGATAGACAGGGGACTCTATTGGTGACTCTGACATGAATCACAACAGCGGATGGCCTGACTGATACGTGGCGTCTCCCCAGGGCAGGAGCCTCTGCTGGCCCAGTCCTCTCCCCTCAGCCATTCTCTGCCGTGGGTGGAGGTGCTTTATCAGGCAATTCCAAAGCCTGATTTGAGGCTGGGGAGAAACGAAGCATCAAGTCACATGTCTCACTTACTGGTTCTGGCTCCGGCCCAGCTTCTGTACAGCGTCCTTCCCCCCCCCCCCCCCAGGCCTCAAATGCTGCCCCGTTCCTTCCTGCTTTCACTCAGCCTTCAGGATGGCCCTTCAGGACGTGTGCAAATGGCAGGCCCCCAACACCCGGGGACCGTCCGTTCACTTGCCTCAAGCTGGTGGTTGGGCTGTGCCCCGGGGCTGTGACCCTCAAACCTTCCTGGAGACCTATGGCCCCAGGCTGGCTCATGGCACCACCACCCTGGCCTTTCGCTTCCGTCATGGCGTCATCGCCGCAGCTGACACTCGTTCCTCCTGTGGCAGCTATGTGGCATGTCCAGCCTCACGAAAGGTCATCCCCGTGCACCGGCACCTCCTGGGTACCACCTCCGGAACCTCCGCCGACTGCGTCACGTGGTATCGGGTGCTACGGCGGGAGCTGCGGCTTCGGGAGCTGAGGGAAGGTAAGCTCCCCAGTGTGGCTGGCGCAGCCAAACTCTTGTCAGCCATGATGTCCCGTTACCGGGGTCTGGATCTGTGTGTGGCCACTGCCCTGTGTGGCTGGGACCACTCCGGCCCTGCTCTCTTCTATGTCTATAGTGATGGCACTTGTCTGCAGGGGGACATCTTCTCTGTGGGCTCTGGATCTCCGTATGCCTATGGGGTACTTGACCGTAGCTACCGCTATGACATGACCGTCCAGGAAGCCTACACCCTGGCCCGCTGTGCTGTGACCCATGCCACCCACCGGGATGCTTATTCAGGGGGCTCCGTGGACCTTTTCCACGTTAGAGAGAGCGGATGGGAGTACGTGTCCCGCAGCGATGCCTACGCGCTGTATATGGAGTTGCAGACAGCCCGGGGCTTGGAGCAAGAGCTGGAGGCCAAAGCTGGTGAGGTCCTTCCCGAGCCCGCCACTCCACAAGATGCGCAGGGAGGCAGAGAACTCTTCGTGGAGCCAGAGGAGGTGACACCGGAAGACGGCAGGGTGATGGCGAAGACTGAAGCGATGTGAGAAAGGACAGAACTTGGGGGACCTGGACAAGGGGGGGAAGTCAGGGAACGAGGCCGCCCTGGCAGGGCGAGCTCTGGGAGCAGCCTCATGGCGTCTGGCTCCGGCCCTTCTGGGTTGCCTGCTTTATTTGTGGAAGTCCTGTCCTTTCTGCCTCCCAGAGCCGTGGATGTCTCTGTCAACACATTCTGATGATGCGCAATAGATGGTGTAGCCTCCTCCTGTCTCCAAACTGACTCGGCCAACACTCACTGCCATGTCCGTGTGCTGGACCCGCTTTTGTCACCCCACGCCAGCCTAGTCTCCTTTTGGTTCTTATCTGAGTTGTTTACCTCTTCTCAACTTGGTCAGGCAGGATGGCCAGGAGAAAGCAGCCTCTCTCAGAAAGATTTAAAACCCCCTGTGGGCTGCAGGGTTTAGTTCAGTGATGGTGGGGATGGGCTAGTCCCTGCTGACCCCCTGCCGTGACTCTCAAGGCTGTAGGTCTCATGGCGGCCTTTGGAAGTGTGGCCCTTTGTTGAAGCTGGCTCAGGTTTAGAGTTGTGGGACTCACTCAGGTTACAGCCGGGACACACGGCACCCTGGGCTTAGGCATTCCCAGCGCTTCCCAGGCTCTCTGTGCATCTTTCCCTCCCAGCCCCCACAGTCCTGCCTTTTCTGCCCTCCTTGCAGTTTTCTGGGGGAATAGGCCAAGCCCCTGCCTGTTGGCTGGAGATTAATGAACTCCAAGGAACCCATGGGCTTTGAGCTCAGAGAAGCTGCCATTCCTGGCCTCATGGTCTCGTATCGCTGTGTTGGCTGGGGCCTGAGCTACGCCCTGTAATGCAGCCTTACTTTCTCCCTTACAGCAGACCTCTCCCTGTTTCTTCACTCCAGCCTCTCCTGGTTGCTCCCGCTGGAGGATAAAGATGACCAGAGGGAGGGTGCTGTGCCCGTGGTGCCAGCTAGCACATCTTCTGGGCCTCCTGGCCTTTCCTCTGGTTTACCAGGGAGCCCAGGCTTGGAGATCCAGGCTTTTAGCTGCAGGAGCGCCACTGTCCTCTCCCCAGGGCTGGTCAGGAGGTGGGGTTTGAAGGAAGGGCACTGAAACAACCTTTCTTTTACCCTGCCTGAAGCCTCCAGACCTAAGACTGACAGCTGCTTCTCCCTCCGTGACAGCCTGCAGTTCAGATTAAGAATTCCTTGAAATCAGACTTACAGATTCTGACCTGGATTCTCCAAACTCTGGACAGTCAGAAGGAAAGTCCATAAAGGACAGAGGATACTGGGGTAGAGGGGTGGTGCACACCTTTAATCCCAGGACTTTGCAGGCAGAGGCAGATGGACCTCTGAGTTTGAGGTCAGCCTGGTCTACAGAGTGAGTTCCAAGGGATCCAGGACTACACAGAGAAACCCTGTCTTGAGAAACTAAAATCCAAATCAAACCAAACAAACAAACAGAGGACTGTAGGAAGGTGCCCAGTACATGGGGACTAACTTGCGAGCCAGGGTGAAAATGTGGCTATTGGCCTTCACAGCAACCCTCATTCCCTGAAAGACAGGAATCTGCAGAGGCCTGTGTGGTTTTGTGGAAAGGAGCAACACTTGAATAAGAGCAGCCACTGCAGCCTGGGTGGTAGTGCTAGCCAACTTGCACAGGGAAGAGCCAAATAGGAGAGGATGGGGCAGGGCTAGGTACGAGCCTATAGCCACCCCGCACCCTCCTGGTCTACCCCGAGGCTTTCGGGAAGTGAGCAGCGGCAGAGGCAGAGGGATGCTCTGGGACCTACTTGCCTGTTGCCTGCAGGCCAGAAGAGGGTATCCAGCCCCCTGGAGCCAGAGATGCTGGTGAGCCACCGTATGGATGCTGCGAACTGGGCTATTCCTCCAGCCTCACGTTCCTTTAGGTTTTGAATGCACTGTTGGCGTGCCTCAGTAGGGTTGGTAGGAGGACTGGGCCAAGCTCATGTCCCTTTTGGATGTACCCTTCTCTACCTGAGACTGGCCCGTAAGTCGTTTTATTCCTGGTTCTAATACTTTTTAAAGAGGGCTCTTGGTCTCCCATCACCTGTCCATTGTTTTTTTTTTTTTTTAATAATTTAATAATTTATTTAACTTTATTTTATGTGCATTGGTGTTAGGGTGTCAGATCACCTGGAACTGGAGGTACAGACAATTGTGAGCCACCATGTGGATGCTGGGAATTGAACCTGGGTCCTTTGGAAGGACCGACAGTGCTCTTAACCACTGAGCCATCTCTCCAGCCCCTCACCTGTCTGTTGTAAATCAGAAACTATGGAAGGTATTGCTTGCAGCTGTGTGACCTTAATCTCAGCCCTCAGGAGATGGAGGCAGCAGGCCTGCTGTCAGTTCAAGGCTAGCTAGGGCTGTATGGTGAGGTCCAGATCAGCCTGAGTTACATGGTGAGGCCCTGTCTCTCCCATCAAAGCAGCTTTCTCTAGTTGCCAGCATCACACGGTTAGTAGGAGGGTCACAAAGGCGTGCTAGGATCCTCCTGCTTCTGGGTAGCCCAAGACCTACCCGGAGAAAAGGACCAGGTGTGCTGGTCCCAAAGCTTGTGTCTCCTTCGCCTCAGGAAGTGGGCATTGGGGATGCTGGCAGTCCCACCCAGGTGCCACCCCACCTGACTGATTCTACCCCTTAACCACTCACGCCCTGCCTGTTCTGGCTCTGTGTGTGTGTGTGTGTGTGTGCACTCCACGAAGACCAAGACCTGTGGGCTGGGAAGATGCGTGTAAACGTGGAAGTGGCAGGTCCTGATCCAACCACAGCCCATTCTTTGTTAGCACTCTAGGCCCAGTGTACAGGAATTTTAATTCAGAACATGGCTGTTCTGACAAGAGATCACATCCAAGGGCCTATGTGATCAAAGATCTAGGTCTGTGTGATCTGGTGGAATACAACCGCACCTTTAATCCAGGAGAGGCAAGACAGGGCCAGCCTGGTGTACAGCAAGTTTCAGGTAAAGAAAAGCTAAGGTCTAGGTGTGCTGGTGCACGCCTTTAATCCCAAACAATGAAGGGAAAGGTAAGTTTGTAGAAGGAAGCACATGTTTGAAAGTGATGTCTAATTGCAGTGGCAGAAAAAGTGACAAATCAGAGAAGATTTGACAGAATAGGATATGCCCAACTCATGAGAAGAGAGAGGAAAGGGAAGCTACTTAAAGGGCAATGCAGAGAGAGAGGGAACGGAGGCAGCTTTACTGGGACAGTAATAGAGAGATAGGTTGCAGAGAGAGAACTCAGGTGAAGACTGAGTGAGCCAGAGAATGAGAAGGAACCAGGAGATTAGAGCAGATTGCTTGAGTTAGTTTGAGGCCAAGCAGAGCAGTTCAGAAGCCAAGGGAAAAGCCAGATTGACTAAGTCAGCTGGGAGAGGAGTGTAAGCCAGAACAGCTGAGTTGAACCAGCCAGCCCAGAGCTCACTAAGAACAAGAAAGGGTGTTATTAAGCAGTAAATCTCAGAGGCTGAAAATGTCTAGGCCTAGGTTAGATTTTATGGAGGCTAGAAGCTCCCAGGACTAGGCCAAGGCTAGCAGAGAGAGGCAACAGGCCTCCAAGACAACAGTTGAAGAAGGAGAATAAAAGTTCCCACATTTAGTTGTAGCTAGTGTAGAGCCTCCTTCCCTCTTCTTGGTCTCATGTCCTGACAGGAGCTCTCACCCCGTGTTCCCCATATTCACTCCCCTCTTGCCAATCCCACAGATAGTTTGAGACATATGGACGAGGGACTGAAGAGTTGGCGGTGGACATGGGGATAGTCATTATCCTCCTCCCCCACCGGAACATGGCCTACACTCCTCCATCTGAGAGGGTCTCTAAGTGTGTACCTCCTAGGAGGACTGGGCTGGGGTTGGAGGCTTCGCCCCCTTCCGCCCTCAGCACAAAGGAAGGTCTGTCCAGAAACGCGGGTGGATGAGAAGCAGGCTCCAAATTTACAAAATAAAGTGTTTATTATGAAATTAGAGATGGAGGCCCCTCCCTTCTTCCCTTTTCCCCCTTTCCCAGCTGCCTCCCCTTTCTCCCCCCACCCCCCACTTCCCTTCTGGGGCCTGAGAAGCACACAAGACAATGCCCAGAGCTGGGATGCCCAGGGCAGGCTGACAGCTGGGCAGAGCTCCAGGGAGGTGGCCATGTGGGTCGAAGCTCTTGCCCTGGGAGGTGGGCTGGCTCCCTCCTTCCTTCTGCTGGAAGCCAGTGGAGCCAGGATGAGGCCATGAGTGATGGAAGGAACCATGCGGGCAGGTCTGTAAGGAAAGGTGGGTTGGTTTAGAAGCAGGATCGGGAGGGTGGCTCCGGTCCTCTGCACTTCTTCCAAGTCCGCCACAGACACTGACCTGGAGCAGAGCATCTCCTGCAGGAGGGTGGGGCAGCAGTGGCTGGGAGAGATTCTCCTGCTTTGGGGATGGATAACAGAAACAAAACAACAACAAACCAACCAAAAAGCCAGTCACAGGGACTCAAGAGAGAAGGGAGGGACATGTGGGCCAGAGACAGACAGAGCATGTGCGTGGGAGACAGAATCTGAGCGATTAGAATTACGGGACAAAAACAGCCACAGAGTCACAGTGAGAACAGAGGTCGGGGCAGTCACAGAACCCAACCCCCGACAGTGGAGAGTCACAGACAGGGATCTCTGGAGAAACACACAGACCGACTGAGGAGGGGGAGGTAAGAGGGAGGGGTAGGGAGGGACTCTGGGCCCCTGGGCTGCCGCCGCCTGCCTGGACCATGTGGGGCTCACTCAGAGGGCCTGTGCGCGCTACCCCACCGCAGCGCAGCGGCAGGACCGGGGCTGGATTCAGGGGTCCGGGGGCTCCTTGGCCCCATATAACTCAGCCAGGGTGCGGAAGAGCGGGCCCCAGTCGTCCAGTGGCTCGGCGGGGCCGGGCACACCGCCTGCCTCGCTGCCCGAGCCCAGGGAGCTGAGCGAGCCGCAGGAGGAGCCCCGGCCCTCGTAGCCGTACACCTGCACCGAGTCGTAGGGTGGCACGCTGGGGTCCTCGTCCGTCTCGCGCAGCCGCAGCGCTAGCAGCTGCGCCACGTCCGCGGGGCCTGGCGGCCTGGGCTGGCGCGGCGCCCGGGTCCGGGGCAGCACGTCGCGGCGCACGGGCGGGCCCGATGCTGGAGGAGCGGCTCCGTCTGGGTTCTGCAGGGCTGTGATGTCGAAGGCCTCGGTGTCCTCCTCCCCGCCACCCTCGTCAT